CGACCCAGCCCAGAGCAGGCGTTTGGTTTCTTAACCATAAACGGAGCCTGGAAACTGTCACGCTGGGCTAGTGGCCATGGTTTGGAAGGCTGCCAACCGGGTACTGGCTCAGTCAGATCGTAGTAGTTCCAGTAAGGATCGGGTGAAGGACCCCAGACATCTGTGTCATACAAAGAATACCTATTATACTTATTAAAGTGGGTTTTGCTCCGACAGGATTATATCGGTCCAATGTTTCATCGTACAAGGTTGGGTCGTCTGCTGTAGACTGTCTGGTGCATTATCTACAATGATTTCAGCTCAGAGAGTTGACAAACGATCGTTTTAGACACTTAATGTTCATTTTTTTTAAATTGTCCTGCATAAATTCGGTTGCATTAAGACCTTTCCGCCCTAAAAACGAATTCGCCAATTATCTATACTTATTTTGCCATTCCTCTATGCATACACAGGCGCCGCTTTGGGTCCTTCACCCGATCGTTGCCGTAATTCCTTCTTGCTGTGACCTCTATGACAGTCTAGCTCATGTGGGACTCGAGACCTTTGATGAAACCTGGTTCATGAGGAGTGGGGGGGGGCCATACCGTGCGTGTCCCGCGTACGCAGACTAGTAATAATTGTCAGACGGTGTGCCCAGGCGGATCCCCAGCGGTCTTGACTTTGGCCTGCTGCTGGAACACGGCTGTTGGGGGAAATGTCAAAGCAAGTGCTGCAAGAATCCGCTCCGCTATTAACAAACTCACGCGCAAGTCATTCCTGATGCCCCTCGGAACAGTGGTCGGACCTCGAACTATCAGTTTCCCCGTCGCGAGCACGGAAAATGTCTCATGAGTGTTCCATTTATCGGTCTATTTTCGTACCAAGACGGGAATGGGCGTTACCATCCTAGGAAGGGGACACGATCACTGGAAAGAGAGTTTTATATGCCTGAGGTTTCGGATTCACACTCAAAGCCATCATCGGAGACTGCGTTGTAACTCCAGCTCTAGAGTCAGAAAGAGCCACTTCAGTATTCACTGGTTATACCAGCAATGCTTCTAAATACAAACAGTAGGTGGGCTAAATCATGAAATGTCATCCGAAATTCCGAAATGCGCTTTCGTTTCGAAAAGATTAATTAAGTATGGTTGCAAAATTAATCATCATGAAACGTACTTCTATAATAACCAAGTTACCTCGGGATGCCGGCTTTCCAACGAACTTCTTTCCGGCTGCATGCAAAAAGGATACTCTCCAAAAATAACTACCCACGTAACATACATTTTTCTCATTGATTCTCGATGCCCTTAAAAATACAATCATATTTCGTGGAAAGCATGCATAAAAATATTCATTCTTTTGCTCATTCGGTAGAAAATTACGTCCTCTTTCAATTTTATACTCGAAGGAAGGGTATAATTCAGTTTTAAAATAGTTTCTGATTGTGAGCTTTTTTAATACCGTGAAATGATCGTTCATAAAACGCCATGTCTCTGCATTTACTAATGTGGCTTTTAAAGTTAACAATATGGTTCAAATCCACTGCTAAATTTTATGAAACTCATATGGTCTCCTCTTAATACCATAGGGAAGTATATGTTTTCCGTAAGCGGAAAATATACGGCTTGTAGTTTGGAAACCCTGAATGCAAGCGTAACGGCAGGTGGGGGGTTTACAATTATTCGGAAATTATAAAATTTTTTGAAAACCGAATTATACCCTTCCTTCGAGTATAAAATTGGAAGACGTCATTTTCTACCGAATGAGCAAAAGAATGAATATTTTATGCATGTTTTGCATGAAATATAATTGTATTTTTAAGGGCATCGAAAACCAATGGGAAACGTGCATGCTACTTAAGTAGTCATTTTTTTACAGAGAATAGTTTATGCATGCGACCCGGAAGAGGTTCATTCGAAAGCCGGCATGTTACGGTAACTGAACTATCATAGAATTATGCTGCACGATGATTATTTCTACAACCCAACTTAATTGATCTTTTCGAAACGAAAGCGCATTTCGGAATTTCGGTTGACATTTCATGAATTAGCCCACCTACTGTAAGTGCAGTGGTGTGCTTTCAAAACAGCGAAAGCTGTACAACGTCTTTGTAAGTTTGGGTCGGTTGACAAATGAAGCCCTAGCTCAAGGCCGGGAAGACCTGAGATCTCCGCTCCAGTACTGACCCACGTCCTGACAGCTGCCGGTCAGAGATATCCACCTCGGTAGGAATTGATACAGTCCAACAAGTTGACCAGATTCATGAGCCCCACCCTCCACTCAGGCAGGCATGTGCAAGCATTTATGCATATAACTTGTTACAGCAGCCTTTAACTGTCTTACCTCTTCTCCGTCCCATAGGACTTTTGCGCAACTTTGGCATGAAGCACAATGAGGACTTGATCTCGACGATTGGCCAAATAGGCACGCATCAAGTCTCGGGTCACAAGACTGACCGAGCCCTGACAAGCCTCAGCCTCTGCCGAGGAGGAAAGGTTCATCTTCTCGCCACCCTGTGCGTAAGCCCCGCTGCGCAAGTAGGTTGTGTTAGAGGAGGCCGGTGGAGCCAGCGTGGGCACCGCGAAGGAGCCCATGGCGTAGTCGCCAGCGCCAGGCTCCCGTCTCCGGGATTCGACGGCAACGACGCCGGCCTCCCCAGCCGTTACTGTCGGCTGTTGGAATTCGGGATAGTAGGAGCTGCCGCCGCCGCCGACGTAAGCAACATTCTCCCTGACCGGCGTGGTTGTCGGGGAGGGCCGAAGACGTGCACCGTTTTCTCGAGCGAAGAGAGCAGACACCCTATAAGACTGGGCGTCAGGTGGGTTGTGAGTGAAGTTCTGGAAGGCGGGCGGATTGAAGGCGGATGTGGCATTATGCTGCTGATGCTGGGATGCATTGAGATAATTTGCCGCAGAGGAGGCTGAGGAGGAGGAGGAGGAAGAGGATGCGATCGAGACAGGGGTTGAGAGCTGATTGGGGGGACTTAGAAAGTCGGGAAAGACGAAACCAGATTTGAAGTTGCCGAAGGTTGGGTTCAGAGGGGTGCCAGACTTGTCCTCCTGACTGTCTGAGGTGGGGAGTGCACCAGAGGCCTGCTTCGAGTTTACGTCCAGCGTCAGGGAAGGATACCTGCGGAGTAAGTGGGGAATTGTGAGAAACAAGAACAACAGCCTGTGGACAGATTGTACACAGTAATGACCAGAAACCCTACACCCTCCAGAACGACAGTCACACCGCAATGAGACCGGGACAGAAGAAGTCGTGGGGAGACATCAAAGGAAACGAGAGAAAACGGTAGGATTGGTGGAAATAATCGGAGGATGGTTCACCTGGCTACGACGCTGACTTTTACACCCTACACTGCACTAATGCATTAACTGTAGCCCTGCCATACGAACGCTCACTAGCTCGAAAAGGCCTTCTACGGTTCCCGAAATTTAATCCTGACAGGGGGAGGGGGGCGAAATACGTTCACAGACTATAAACCTTGCCCTCACCTGGCAAGAATTATAATCTGGATCACCATTAAAAAAGACAAGTGTGATCGTGACGGAAATAGTCGTAGCATCCAAGAAAAAGGACGGCCCTCTGCCTAAGTCCTGATAGTTGGCGAGGAATTTCTCGATTAATGTAGAGGCACTTGAAGACTACCTCAGAGCCCGAGAAAGTAGTTAGCATTTCTGAAAAACCGAACGTGGGCACACAAACATACCAAGAGCCCTCTTCAAGTGGCCACGAGACAGGTTCAGTCGTAAATGAAGACTCTGTCCCAGCAACTAGAGGCAGTGGACGAGAACTTTTTTCCAACACCTGGTAGGTCGACGCCCAGTCAGGTGCCTGTGTAGGGGGTCTTGCACAGAACAGTTGCTGATCCCAACCCTCCCTGACCTCGGAGTCAGGCGGCCAATGATCATCGGTATTACGTTTGGTAGCGGGGAAAGAGACCTTGTTGTCGGTTGTGCAATCACTGTAGAGGGACGAAAGTCGGTCCTGGTTGTCATAGACCAGACCTTCATTGGTAGCAGGTGACCACCTAAACGGGGAATGCCTTCCGCCCGTAGTTTCAAATCCAGAGGTTGCAGATTCCTCAGCGCCGGAAAATGCCTGTGCCCAGGTCCGTCGGACGGAGGAATCACCTATACAGTCCGAGAAGCTGCTGCTGGAGGTTGAGGAGGCTAAGTTCGGATACAGTCTATAGTCGGCCCGGTAGGGATTAGAGAAGCCAGCATTTGCTGCTTCCTCTTTTGTCAATCGCACCATACATGACACGCTGGGCAGTCCAGTAGGTCTCCTGTTCTCCCGTTGATCATTCGACTCGATATCGAGCGCACCACTGATACGACCGTCACTGCCCTTGCCGGTACTCGTGTGTCGGGGGAAATGAGCAGTATGTTGGCGATTTGAGTCTCCTTCTGAACAGATGGGAGGTACAGGAAATGTCTGCGTCCACTCTTCAGTAGACGAGGCGACGGGGAACCCACCCAGACAGCGGCCTGTTGACGGTCGCGAGCTGTAGGTCAGAAGGTCAGTTGGCTGCATTCCACAGAGACACTTACAGACGCTAAACAGTCATGGAAACGTGGGCACACTCACGCAGGGAGGCGCGGGGGGGGGCAAACAGGTTTCTTCTCGCAGAAAGCAATGTCAAACAGACCGCTGGCCCTTTTTGTGCTGCTATAACCGACGCTTGCCTGTAAAAGGAGCAGTGGGTGCGCCTTCGGCTGGCACGTGGGCATAGGTGCGCCTGTGGTGCAGCGTTGTGCCATCATTGGCTGCTGTGTGCTCAGCGAAATGTGCGCAATTAAGGGCGTCGGCAAGGTCTGCGTGGAACTATGCACTCCCCGCATATACACACACGCACAGCGTGTAGGCGGAACTGTAGTGTCGAGCAAGAGTACGACGACCCCAATTGCCACCACAACCGACCCCAAGAGAAGAGTCATCAAACGATGACGCCGCCAGCCTAGGCGTAGCATCATGATGTCGAGGTGGGGGGGAGGGTCAGATGGCCGCAGCTGCGTTCAAAAAACGCGGCTGGAGGAACCCGCGACCGGAGAGGGGTCTAGAAGAGTCTGAGAGTGTGAAGCTAGGTGGAGGAGTGGGGGAGTAGGTGAATCAATGTGGAGGCCGCGCCAACATGCACACACACGAGCAGCAGACTCCAGGATGCTGGATGTCGAGAACGCACATACGCACGCACGCACAGAACCCGTCGCGGGAATTTGACCTGGCGACACTCAATCGCGACCATAACCCATACCTCTTTCCTCCTATTCGCTGTAAAGAACTTGCGCGTGAGTTGGAGCGCAGTCAGGAAGAGTCGCGTACCACCGTCTCCGTTCTTGTTGTTCTAGCTTGTGGAACAGGGGAAGGCCAACCACAGGTGTGAAGGGATGCAGAGACCGGCCGGATATCTTATCTCCGTCTGCTGGGCAGTCCGTCACTGACTCTCACGCCCTCCACTACACGAATTTACGCACTGGGATAGGCATATTTCGCCGGAATATATAGGAGGGTTGAGTACAGAGTAGTTTGAAGAACACGCAGACGTGTACGAGCAAGCCGTGGGATTAAAAACAGGGAAAAGTTACTATCGAAGCAGTTCGTTCTGTTACCATGTATTATTGATGTCTACAAAAGCAGTCGCATTTTACAGAAAAATAGGGAAAACTGGCTCTGATACTCACTCCGTAAGGCAGGAAGTCTACCGAAAAGGTAAGGCTTGAAGAAGGGTCATTCGACTTTTGTGGTCAAATTTTTTAGCAATCTGAATTTTCGGTGTTTCTCTGCTTACAAACTACGTCGTATGTATTTTCTCCAGAAGCAATTTACAGAACTCGTGAACTCCTGCAATGGGTATAGATTGCGTTGTTTTCATTTCGAGTCGCATAAAAAGAGAGGATAATAAACCAAATGAACAATCATACAAGCCAATAGAAGCGAAGAGACGACTCCCAGGAAGCAGTCTTGAAGAAGGAGACACGATCGCCGGGACAAGAATTTTACTAGTCTAACGTTTCGGATTCCTGCTCGAACCCATCATCAGAGACAAAAAAGCAGATACGGGTACTTTCGTCTCTGATGATGGGTTCCATCAGGAATTCGAAAAGTCAGGCTAATAAAGCTCTTGTCCCAGCGATCGTGTGTCCTTCTCCAATTATACAAGCGTCTCGAAAATGTTTATTAGGAACTCTTCAAAAAAACGAAATGCACACTTCCTTCTAACGCTTAATTTGAAGGGAACGCAGTTTTCGGTCGGACATGGGAATATGGACCCCTCCCCCCCACCCCACCGTACTACAGATGGCCTCGCGCTAAATTCCAGGGGCACTTATTTCCGTGCGCTAACTTTAACCCCTACCGCTAACCACCCCCCCCCCCCTATACCCAACCCTATCCTAGGCCCTAACACCAGCCCGAACCCCCCTGGAATTTAGGACGGGGCCACCTATAATGTGTGGTGTCTATATCCCCGCGCCCAACCCAATTTTTCCTAAAACGCCGGTGAAAGATGAACTTTTGTGCTTTTCTTCTACAAAATAGGCCTAAATTTCCGTGAGCATCAGTATGCCGGGGGGGGGGGAGTTGGAAGTACTTCAAGAGCGCTGTTTTCGCGAACTTAACCTCTGTAGGTAGCCCATAAGATGCCGCTGTTTAGGAATTGATTTGAAATTGCTTCGCCTGCTGATCGGTATGGAAACCTCACCAAGGCAGCCTTTCCCGCGTAAGAACGTAGTCGAGAACTTTCGTGGTGTTTCAGGAGTTTCTGCTAGTGTATAGACACGTAGACTAATGTTGTGGTAGTGTATACAAAATATTCTCGATTAATAAACACACATTCCGGAAAGGTTTGATCCGTATGTCTTAAAGCATAACAATAAAGCCTAGAGGTGAAAGTTTAGTGGGACGACTGCTAGCAGAAAAAATTTGGGATATCACAGTCAGAATTTTCTCTGTCTTCTCTAATTTAGATCATGAATTTTAAATGTCATATGTCACAGTAGTCTTCTAGCACCTATTTCACAGTCTGTAGTTTAGTTTTAGAGAAAAGAAGTCGGCCTGGAACAGTTCGTTTGGGGAATGCACGAAATGTCACTGTTCATTCCAGGAAGCCAATGACAGCTATGATCTTCAGTTAAGAGCTACTTGCAATGTTCTTTCTCTTCTGAACTTAAAGGCTCTTTAGCCTGTTCTTCGTAAATTAATTTTGGATCCACAATAACAGGATCCTAGCTTTAAACTAACTTCCACTGACAGAATTTTAAAGACTTCTGTTTACTTGAGAAATTTTAAATCTCTTACCAAACCAGAATGATGCTGCAATACTACAATAACAGTACAGTAAAACCCCCAATGATTCGGTCTCTGTGGGACACTTTTCAGTTCGACTTCATGGTAATTCCTGTCGATGGTCATCTGCAGTGAGACGGATGGCTTGCTGCCCCAAATAAGAACGAAAAATAACATCCAGGCTACTGACTAGCGCGTAAGTAGATAGTATAGCGTAACTTTACAAAGACATCCAGATTGCGGGGCCGTTTATAATATTTTTCACTCATGGCTCAAAATCCTGCAAAACTCTTTCCTGGCGATCAAACGCACCTGACTATAAGTATGGAGGGGAAATAAAGTAGAAATTAAGAATAAATAGATTTAGTTTTATCGAGAAAACGCACCGTATCTAACAATGTCGGTAAGTCAACACTGGTGCAAGGATTGCTCACAAAGGCGCACAAGGAAATTAAACTGTGGTAGGGGGTGCTCAGCGATCGTTCTTACGGAACTCACCCGTTCCGTTGTGCCTTATGGACTCTCTCTCTCGAGCCCAACCAGCAGCCGCACAGCGGCGCATGATATAGGCAGAATGATATTGCCGACAAAGACGATCGGTGAACGCCCCCCACCATTGTATATTCCCGATCGAAAACCGACAGGGCAACGGGCTCGTGGCTCAGTGGTTAGAGGCGTGGACTCCTAACAAACAGGTCGCGAATTCGAGCCTCGGGTGTGCCACACTTCGGGGTTGGGTATGACTGGCTGACGACGTCTAATAAGCCAGAAATGGCCGTTCCAGTCTCCCTTGTCTTTGTCGGTAATATCATTCTGCCTAAATTAAACTGTCTTCGAGAGAACAGAATAAATTCACGAAGTCGACTGTTAAAGAGAATCCACGCAACCGGCTCCATAAACGGCCATGACTCCTAACACTTCCAACTGGGGGACGCGCACATTTTAGACTGTATGGTCTTTCGAAGACACACCATGACGACCCGCTAGTTCGTCCGATCTGAGATATGCGAAACTCCTCGTGACATTCGATAGCGAAATGGATAACAGAGAAACTCAAGCACGTAAAGTACCAGTCAGCGTCTCAGGATTATCGCGTACCTTCTAATTTATCGACGACGATACGGACATCGATTTAAATAGAAAATGAAGGTTTTAGCTGGACCTCTTATCTCTCTTGAACTAAGATCGGTCACCAAAACAGTCGGTTATTTCGAATGGAGACGAATTTTTGAATTCCAGGTGTCCGTAAGAAGGAACAAGACTGGTCGAGCACCGGAGCACTACAAACAACCCCTGTGACTGCCGATTGTTCTGTTATTGCCTTTATCGCTGAAGATGGACCCTTACACGAGTTTGAAAAATCAGACCAATAAAAAAACTGTTACGATGCTCTACCAGCCTTGGCTATTCCTCACTGAATTTATTATCTCTGCGTACTCCTACCGACCAACCAACAGGAACACCGACAAACACATCTAAGAAACCATTATTAAAATGCCCAGTAAACGTGAAATTTCTATTTTACAACGACTTACATGGACAAATAAACCGAGCTGATACGGACTCACTTCTTGCTCCTCTTCCAGCCAATGTATTTAGGGGGCACGCTAGATAAATTTCAGTTAAGCGACCAAATCGATAGACCTAGGCCTTGCGGTCGCTGCGCGGATGAGGTACTTACAATGATGCCCCAAAAAAACCAGCAAAACTGCTTTCTTGGGCGTCGAATTCACCCGAAGTGGCCGGTCTACTCCCCGCTTGGACGTCTTTCTAAGCAGAAGGCCTGGCGATAGCATTCGAAGAAGCACCTGCTGGAAGAAAACCTGGTCTGAACAATACACGAACTTCGGCAGTTTCGCATCCGTTGTTTGGTATGAACGGCTAGAAAGATTTTTTGTAAGATGGCACCCAGCAGGAGTCAGGGAAAATCCAGAAGGTGCTTTGCGAGAACGGGTATCTGACCGACTTATCGCGAAGACCACTGAAATCCACCGTGCTGACAGTTGAAAAGACAAGTCTATTCATCAGAGTTCACTTACAGGGAGACGTATTGAATGAATTCCCAAGAAGGCGTCTCGACCAAACTGTTTTGCGAACCTTCCCAGCAGCTGGAGTTTAGGTGTTATTTCTGATCCCATTCTACACGGTGAAGTTAGGGATAATTCACCAGCTCAGACGACATCTAAGCGCACTTACAGGCTCTTGTAGGACAGGTTATAATGGTCGCACGAATAGGTGCTCATTCAATA